ACCTTACTAGGGAAGTTATTATGGTTACAAGTAAGTACTTTTTAAGGCCTAATTTCATGTTTGTAATTAATTCACATATATAGTACCTTAAGATATATGAATTGCTTCATCCTCACAATACTCTATGGAACTGAATGGAAAACTACTGACCTGTTTTTCTAACCTTTTTAATATATCACTAGAACCAATGAGCACTGGACCAGGAGTAAGAAGGGTTGGACTCTAGTCCTGATTCTACCACAAATAAAGTATATGATCTGAAGTCAGTCACTTAAACCTCAGGGCCTTGCCTTCCTTCTCTTAAAAGAAAGGAGTTGGACTAGATGACCACAAAGCCTTAACACAATGAAATTTTGTATAGCATGACAAGTCTCACTACTTCAGTGACATTACTAATTTCTGTCATAAACAAAGGCTCAGAACGAATGGGACAACATTCTGTTCTTAGATGAGTCTCACATCTTTTCCCCAGTCAGTTTGCTTATGGCAAATGATTTCCACTTCATAAATTGGAGAAGTGGAGTGGAGGGAGGGAGGGTAGAGAAGATACTTAGTGATAGCACCTTTAATATATTTTATCAAAAGAACTTATGAAATATTTATTTGTCTACTATCTCTTGCTTTTGCTTCAAAGTGAATAGGCAGATATATAATAAGAGATGGAAATATTAGGGAAGCTTTTTATCAGGAAGCAAAGGAAATCTTGTCAGAAGAAACATATTGGCCTAGGGGATGCTCTTTGATCTGTGGGGATGAAGCTTTTGGTGCCTTAAATGCCCTCATACTCAGGTCATGTAGCCAATTTAAATGAAATGACCCATTTGCTTTAAACTTTTCTGAGAGCATAAAAAAGACTTGACAATTATTAGCAATAAGTATCACATCAATAGGATAAAAAAAAGTAATATAATTCCAGTCTAGTCTTTAGAACTTTCTCTAGGACTGCCTTGACAAAGATAAAAAGGAAGATTATGAAGTGCACTTCCCACTAGCCACTAGTCAATCAGTGAAAGCTCAGTAACTGGCTAAGTAAACTTAGACAAGTCTCTGTTAAGTGGCTGGTTTGGGCCAGATGTTTGGTTTGGCTTGTTTTTGTTTCAGTTTTGGCTGGTTTGCCAAAGTTTTTTTCATCTATAAAATAAAGAAATAAGACTTGATCTGACTAGATCTGCTAATGTGATTTCTGTGCTGTACTGAGACACATCACTTCCAGGAATAAGGGATAACCCCATTGCATACTTCCCTGACCAGACCATATCTAAAGTATTATTTTGGTCCCATTTTAAAAGTGACATTAATAAATTGAGGAGCATTGGTTGAAATAATTATAGGGGATAATTATCCTAGAAAAGAGAAGCATAATGAGGGAGGAAAAGAGCACAACAGGTGCCTCCAAGTACTCAAAAGAATTAGGCTTCTTCTATTTAGTTTCAGATGATAAAATAGGAGTAATGTGTAGAGACCATAGACATAAATGTAGGCCTGATATCAGGGAAAGTACACACACACACACACACACACACACACACACACACACACACCCTCCTAACAATTAAAGTTATCCAAATACTTAATGAATTGCATTGAGAGGAATTTGCTATATCTCATAATTGCATATCTTCAACCAAAGGCTTGAAAATCACTTATTGGAATTATAGAATAATTCTTATGGAATAAAGGAAGGGAAAAATAGGGGAAAAACCTATGAAGCACTTGGAGCAAGATAAAACTCCCAGTCGAAATTTCTCATGTGTGTTTTTACTGAAATGAAAACCAATCTCAGGATACAGTTAACATAGTATTTTTTTTTTCAGATGGAGGTCCCATATTTTCATTGAAGATAAGGCTAGTTGATCACTTGTTGGGGATTTTTGATCAAGTATGGAGTAGGCTTATGTCAGATGAAGTTTCTTGCAATTCTGAGTTTCTGTGGATGTGTAATTCTATGTCTATGGCATGGTTGCATGTGCTGGTATGTTGGGAATAAATAATAGCAGATTCTGAGAAAAGCATAGCAATTGGGACTATTCAATATGGTAGTTAATAATGTTATATACCTCATTAGCTTATGTTATCATTCAGGGCTATTAAAGAACTATGGTTTCAATGCTGTAGATATGAATGCCATCATGATAGATCACAACTCCTAGCTTCTTGAAGAAACTATTTCTTGCATCTTCATGTAGACAGAAAAATATATCACCTGAACACTAAATTTCTTGTGATAAACTGGCTGGATCTTGGATAAAAGGAAGTTTGTCATTTGGGTATGTTCTTACAATAATTCTAGCCTAGTAGGACTTGCTAGAATTTGTGATTATTGGTATAATATTTGTTAAAGGGGAGTCTACTCCATTTTATAATGAGGTTGTAGAGGGAGATGTTAGTGAAGAATTGAGGACTTATTGTCAATAATTGATTTATAAAAACTTAAGGCATCAAGAAATTATAAAAATATTTTCAGCATCAACTTAAGTAGGAATAAAAGTGTGTAGTAGATTTTAAAAAAATGTTTCCAACACAAATGATTCAAATTTTAGACATTTAGACACTTGAAAAGGCTAAGCTTCAGTTACCTGAAATATTGACTAATCCATAATTCCAAGTAATGTGTATGATTTTGCCTGTGAGCTAAAATTCATACAAATCCTCTCCACTGAAGGAATTATATCCATTTTTATAGTTTATTCCCATTAATATGTATCTATTTAGGGAAATATATCAAATTAGTAAAGAAATTTGAGTTATGGAGTATTTAAAAGACTTCATTTTATTACCTTCAGTTAAAGAGTTGCCTACTAGTAATCCTCAAGAAATTTGTTTTGCGATGGATATATAAACAACTGATGAACAAATAATTCTTATGTTGCAATGAATACATACAAAATATGCAAACAATCTTGAAAAGAATGCTTTATCTCTACAAAGCAATCATCATTTTAAAGACTCCTCTGCAAATCCTACTAATATTAATAATTTTACCCTTTCTGTGAAAAAAACATTTTGCTATATTCACTCTGGTTGGCAAATACCTTTCTTTTATGAAGATCTTCAGGGGGCCCTGTGATGTCTCCTAGGTACAGGATATAGCAGGGGTTTGAAAGAATGGAATAGAAAACTATTTATTAAATGTTTGCTGTTTGTAAATTCTTATAAGGGCTAGAAATACAAATAGAAAAATTGAGATAGTTCTTGTTTGCAAGGAACTCGCTTTCTAATCTAGGGAGCCAGCACATAAAGGAGGGTTCATACTTATGATCACTTCAAGGAAGATGAATAGGCTCTGTAGTAATTAGGGAGAAGGGCAGATGACAAGGCCCTGAGGACATTGGGTAGTAATGGCAAGTTAGATGGACTCTATCAAAACAGACAGTCTATCAGAGGCTCCAAGAGAATCAAGTGGAGACAATCTCCATCACCTTAGTTTATTTTGCCAAATTTTTTGCCAAGCAACCCAGAGAATTAGGTTCATTGTCTTTTGGAGATATTATAGGAAAAAAAATCTTTAAAATGAAAAGCTGAGGAGTTCCCCCCCCCCAAAAAAAATAACTTCAACCACACTACTGAGACTTAGGGGGAAAATTACATTTTTCTCTTCTGCCCTTCCTAATTTTTCTTTTAAGGATTTTTTTTTTGTTTTGAAGAATGTTCTATTGGATTCCCAATCTCTCAGTGACTTTTTACTCTGAGAGTTGACAATTAACTTTTAAATCAAATTTCTGGTGGTTCTAGTTCAAAAGCATGGAAAATTTCACTGTCTTAAAAGAAAGCGCATTTTATATGTGCACTTTTATATACCAGTTCATTTTGAATGAACCTTTATTCCAAAGACAAAAACTTTTTAAAAAACACAAAAATTTTATTTACAATTTTCCTTGGAGTGTGCTCACTGGTATCTAGGAGCAATATTTTATGTTTTATGCATATTTAAATAGTCCCGAGGAACAACCTGTGGGAATGCAATGTCTGGAAGAAAACCTGTTATAAATGTAGTACTGGCTCTATTCAGAAGTCCTTAGGCATGCAGGAGGTTTCTTTTCATAGCTGTAGAAGAGTGCACATGCAAATTAGAATGTTCTCTTTCCTAAACAACAAAGCCACAGGATTCAGTTAATTCTAAAGAATTCTAAAACGGGAGAATCACAAGTAAGCAATCAGAAAAGTTGACATTTTACTAATATCTGGTTGTCACTGAGATGTTCAAAGGGGCATAGGCCTACATCAGATTCTAGAAGAAATATGCAGTCAGGGTTTATGGAGTGAAAACTAATGATAGAAAATGTGGGCATTTCATAGGGGATTCTGCGTTAGTTAATGTTTACAATTCATGGCCCAGTTGGTACTAGTTAATTAAGAAAATCATTTGGGATAAGAAAACATTCATGAATGATTGTGGGTTTTTTACACAGTTCATAATAAGCTCAGAGACTTAGGGCGGCATTTCAATGTTCAATAGAAACAGGACTACATAATGAATTTATTTCCTAGTTGGCTCATTATTTACTTAACTACAGAGCATTTATTTATGACAGAAGAAAATGTTCCTGTTCCATGAAAGAATGTTAACCTTACTTTATCACAATATCATCTTTTGAGCTTTTTTAGTCTACTGAAGAAAAATTGATGAATATTTCAATATGCAAGATTCCTCTAAGTTCTGATGAATTCAGCCTGCATAATTTAAAGTGAATGTTTGAAATAGATGGTTTTATTTGATAGTATGTAGATTTTACATTAATGAAGTCTGGAAGATATATTCAACATTGTGTACATCTACAAAAATAATATTTTCAGGAACAGTTTGGAAGATAACTCATTCTGTGAATGCATCCACTTAAAGATCTGACCTAATAAGAGTTTTCATATTATATAACAATATGAATTTATACATGGATTGATGAATTATGTAGGTTGGAAAAAATCTAGCTATTTTATTAGTGGATATTAAAATGTTTTAATTTCTTTTCTACATAAATTAATTCATGTCATTTTATGTCTAGGACAAAGTCCAGCAATACCTCCTCTACTACCTGTTGGACAAGTTTCCCAACCTGAACGGGCACCATTAGCTCTTGGAGGCAAGTTCCTTATCTCTTTTTCAGAGACTTTCTTATTTCAAATAACAACCCCTTCTTGATGATGTAGTAAGATTTTCAATGCCATTCTCCCACATTACCTTAGAATGTTATTGTGAGGTGATTAATTCTTTCTTGGCATTTCATATATCAATACCCTAGAAAACCACAATATTTCCCTACAGAATTCTAAGCTGGTGATCTTCAGTAGGAAGTCTGCCCATTTTTGCAAAAAGGAAAATGGGCAGGGAACATTAGGTTAGAGAAAAATTTTACCATGCTTGTTATTGTAAATATACTTGCTGAAGGTGGTTTTGGGATGCCTTAGAATGCTTGCAATATGCCTCTGTGAAAGAAATGATGCTGCGAGAAATCAATAAATTGAAATCAATACATGTAAATATAGGTATTGCTGGTTATTTTTGGCACATGGTAGATGCTTAGAGCGAATGTCAAAATGTGATGCTGAATCCATTATTTTGTTGTTTCTTGGTAGTAGGAGATGAAACTACTGTTTTCTTTGTATCTGAGAGAATCAGTAGAAGAAAGGATAAAGTGTAGAAGTGCCTATTATGAAAAATTAAAATTCATTATATTGTTAGATTGGAACCCTGACACTGTGTTCTTATTTAAGGTAGAAAAAAAGCCAGAATTTTGGTTTTAAGCATCATTTATCAACTCTCGGGATAACCAGGGACTGGAAAATTCAGAAACCTATAACATTTCTTTAAAAAGTGCCTATGTCTTTAAAAAAATACATAGAGATGGTAACTCCTTTATTCCCCTAAACCTTAACATTGACTTGATTTTTATAGAAAAAAAAGATTTTCACTTTTTATTGTGCTTCCCTTTAATTGTTATTTTTAAACACTAGCACTGGTGTTACTCCATATATTATTCCTACCCTGATCCCCACATTGAAAGAAATTCTTTTTTGTCTGACTTTCCTGGATTTATTGGCCTGGTTCATACCCTTACTTCAATTACATTTTACCCTATATCATACTACATACTATGTAGATAGTGTACTCCCCCTTACTTCTACATATGCCACCCACTCCCATTAGCTTATAAGCTTGTTCGGAGCAAGTATTGAAAACCTTTAATATTTAGATCTCCAAATATCAAATACAGTGCCTTGCATATAACAGTTACTTAATGAACTACTTTTTAACTGAATTAAGAGCTCTCCCACATACATCTCCCATCCTGAGTTTCCTAGCTGTGACAATACGCTTCTCTTAAATGTTTAATCATCTCAGTTCTCTTCTAATATATGCAAAACCATTTGTACCATCACATAAACTATCTGTCTTCCCTGGATATCTGCAGAAATGATAGCAGTGTTAACCTATTAATTTAGTATTCTCCTGGTGGTAGGGAACTTGGAAAGCTATCCTTTAGATTGAATTTTGTTTGCTTAAAGACACTTTCATATGACAGGCTTTTTACCAACAAATTTGGGGTTCTAGACAATAGCTTAACACACAGTCACATAAGGTGGAACATGAACAAATCTGTGAGGAGAAACAGTTGTATGAAGGTCCTCCTTGTCACAAGCAAAATAATTTAGTGAACTAAAGCAGCAGTTTTAGATCTGCGTCTGGACTTCTATGGCTGCCAGTACATTTGACCCAAGAAATATTTGCTGAGTATTGGTTCAGTCCTTCTCCCTTCATCCTGTGGCAGATAATTGTAGTTTGATGTCTGTGGGTATCCACAAAAGGTGTTCAGAAGAAACTTTTGATTCAACAACAACCTCATCCACAATTGAAAAGTTTTGTGGTTGAGGGGCAGAGCTAAGAGGACAGAGAAAAGACAGGAACTCACTTGAGCTTTCCCCCAAACCCTTCTAAACACCTTTAAATAATGCTCCAACACAAACTCTGGAATGGTACAACCCATTAATGGATGGGGTGAAACAATTTTCCAGCCCAAGACAACTTAGAAGGTCAACAGGAAATGTATGTCATGCAGGGGTGATGTGGTGAAGTTGGAGGGAGTTAAGTGCAGTCCAATGCAGGCTGAGTCAGTGAAGATCCAGTCCCAGCAAACCAGGAGTAAGCCTTGGGAGTCACTGAATCAGCAGCAGCAGCTACTGCTTTCAGAACTCTCAGCCCAGAGACAGTAAGGAATAGGACAGCTAGTTAGAAGGTGATTATGGGAGTCCCTTTGCTGGCACCAAGCACATGACTCTGTTGCTTTGCCCATACTTGGATCAGGGTCACAGTTCCATGTAGCAGGCCCAGGGCAAGGAGCAGGGACTCCTAGCACACCACAGCTTACAGCCCAGTGGAGCAGGGACCATCATCACAGTTCCAGGGCAAAAAGAGTATTTGTGGTTGATCACAAATCAGAGCACAGGCCAGAAGAGTAGTAAACACACCTCTCCTTAAATCATACCACCTTGGAAGAACTGAAAACTTATAGGTTCCTAGCTCTGAAAACAGCTGCACAAAACCCCTGAAGCTTGGGACAGTGTATCCTCCACTCTGGAAGCAGAGCCCCACTTTAGCAAAGAGCTAAATATCAAGAAATAGGATGAGAAAATGAGCAAACAACCGAAAAGTTCTGACTATAGAAAGTTACTATGGTGACAAGGAAGATCAAAACATACCCTCAGAAGAAGATAACAAAGTCAAAGCTCCTACATCCAAAGTCTCCCAAAAAATATGAGTTGTTCTTAGGCCATGGAAGAGTTCAAAAAGGATCTTAAAAATCAAGTAAGAGAGGTAGAGGAAAAAATTGGGAAGAGAAATAAGGGGGATGCAAGAAAATCATGAAAAAAGAATCAGCAACTTGGTAAAGGAGGGAAAAAACTGAAGAAAATAACAGCTTAAAAAACTGAATAGGCCAATAGGCCAAATGGTTAAAAGAGGAACAAACATCCAAAGAGGAGAAAAATGCCTTGAAAAGCAAAACTGGCCAAATGGAAAAAGATATACAAAAGTTACTGAAGAAAAGAACTTCTTAAAAAGCAGAACTGGCCAAATGGAAAAGGAGGCACAAAAATTCACTGAAGAAAAGCACTCCTTAAAAAGTAGAATTGGTCAAATGAAGAAGAGGTACAAAAGCTCACTGAAGAAAATAATTCCTTAAAAATCAGAATTGAGCAAGTGGAAGCTAATGACTCTATGAGACATCAAGAAACAATAAAACAAAACCAAAAGAATGAAAAAAATAGGAGACAGTGTGAAATATCTCAATGGAAAAACAACTGACCTGGAAAATAGATCCAGGAGAGATATTTTGAAATTATTTAACTACCTGAAAGCCATGATCAAAAGAAAGAGCCTACACACCATCTTTTAAGAAATTGTCAATGGAAACTGTTCTAATATTCTAGAACCAGAGGGCAAAATAGAAATTGAAGGAATCCACTGATCACCCCCTGAAAAAGATCGCAAAATGAAAACTCCCAGGAATATTTTAACCAAATTCCAGAGCTCCCAGGTCAAAAAGAAAATATTGCAATCAGTCACAAAGAAACAGTTCAAGTATCATGGTGACATAGTCAGGATAACACAAGATTTAGCAGCTTCTATATTAAAGGATTGGAGGGCTTGGAATATGATATTGGAACATGAAGGGCAAAGAGAGCAAGGATTACAACCAAGAATCACATATCCAGCAAAACTGGAAGTCTAATCCTTCAGTGAGAAAAATGGGCATTTAATGAAATTGAGGACTTTCAAGCATTCCTGATGAGAAGACCACAGATGAATAGAACATTTGACTTTCAAAAACAAGATTCAAGAGAAGCATAAAAAGACAAACAGAAAAGGGGAATCATAAGGGACTTAATAAAGTTAAACTGTTTACATTCCTACATGAGAAGATGATAATTGTGACTTATAAGAACTTTCTCATTATTAGAGCAGTTAGAAGGAATATATATGGACAGAGGACATAGGTGTGAATTGAATATGAAGGAATGATATCTAAAAATTAAAATTAAGGGGTGAAAGAGAAGAATTCACTGGGAGAAAGGAAAAGGGAAAGGTAAATTATCTGACATAAAAGAGCTGTGAAAAAGTTTTCACAATGGAGGGAAAGATGGGGGAGGTGGAAGGGAACATTTCAATCTTACTTTGATTGGTATTAACTAAAAGAGGGAATAATATACACACTCAGTTGGGCATAGAAATCTATCTTACCCTACTGGAAAGTAGAAGGGGAAGGGGACAAGAGAAGGGGAATACTTCATAGAAGGGAGGATGGATTGGAGAAGGTAGTAGTCAGAAGCAAAACACTTTTGAGGAGGAACAGGTTGAAAGGAGAGACGGAATAGAATAAATGGGATGGTGGGAAGGATGGAGAGAAATACAGTTAGCAATCATAAATGTGAAAAAAATTGAAGCAAGTTTCTCTGACAAAGGCCTCATCTCAAATATATAGAAAAATGAGTCAAATTTATGGGAGTAAGAGCCATTCTCCAATTGATACATGATCAAAAAATGTGAACAGTCAGTTTTCAGATGAAGTAATCAAAGCCGCTTATAGCCATATGAGAAAATGTTTTAAATCACTGTAGATTAGAGGATTGCAAGTTAAAACAAGTTGAAGTACTACCTCACACCTATTTGATTAGCTAATAGGATAGAAAAGGAAAAAAGACAAATGTTGGAAGGAATGTGGGAAAATTGAGACATTAATGCATTATTTGTGGAATTCTGAACTGATTCAACCATTATGTAGAGCAATTGGGAACTATGCCCAAAGGTTTATAAAACCATGCATACCCTTTGACCTAGCAATACCACTACTAGCTCTATATCCCAAAGGAGATTTAACAAAAGGGAATGAACTTGTCTGTTCAAAAATTTGCATAGCAGCTTTTTTTCTGGTGGCAATGAATTGGAATTTGAGGGGATGCCCATAAATTGGGGAATGGCTGAACAAGTTGTGATATATAATTGTGATGGAATACTATTGTGCTATAAGAAATGATGACCTACATGCTCTCAGGAAAACCTGGAAATATATGAACTGGTGCAAAGTGAAATGAGTAGAACCAGGAGAAAAATATATACAGTAACAGCAACATTGTAAGATAATCAAC